CCCACTAGGCAAGTCTAGTGGAGTAGTAGTGTTGTCTGTAACCATCTAATCCAACACAGGAAAGAACTACCAAAACATCTCACTAAAAACTTAGTACATTTGGTTTTCTACTACTGCTTATTTATATTAATTCATTTGAGGTCAACTAAGAGGATGAAAAATTAGGAAAGCGAAGATATATTAATCTGTAGAAGGCAGTAACTTTTCTTTCTTGGCAGGCACAAGTTCAAGCAGTGGCCTATACCGTGGTACCTAAATAAAAGATACAGGAGGAGACGATTCTTTGCAATGCCTTATGTGGACCGTTTTGTCAGGTAAGCACAAATTTTCTTAATAATGAAACATCATCCTTACATTAAATGATATGTTAAACTTCTAAGATGTTTTTAATTTCTGTTGCATAAGTAATATATGCTCATTGTGCAAAAAGTGGAAACATCAAATAATTAAAAATTCATGTGTAGTAACATTAGTGCGTAGCCTTCCAAAGTTTTCTTAATTTTCTGGCTATCCATCTGTGCTTAAAAAGAGATGCATTTTAATGTAATGTTAAAAATGAAGCTCCAGGTATTTCCATTTCATAAAATGTGAGCTCATGTTTTTTGCAAGGATGATAAAAAGGGCCTGGGGAACGTTTCACATGGCAAAATTCTCTTGCATGAAGTTATCAAATTGGTCCTGTAAACCACTGGAGCTGGTAGTTATAAAATCTAGGAGATATAAAGCTGTTTTAAAACACTGGATCCACAACCAAAAACATCCTGAAGCCATAGGAGTTTACTCCCCAGAACTGCAGTTGGAAGGAGACAGAATTGGGGTTTCTGAGCCAAAGGCGCTTCTCAGCTGCCATCACTGTGGCTGTAGACACAGGGATGGGGAACTGCAGGATTCCTGGCTAAAGGTGGCAGATGTTGGAATTCAGGGCCAGAAGGGCAGCTGGAAAGTTAAAGGGAAAGTAAAGAATATCAGCAGACAGCCACCACAAGTTTTCACTTTGCTTTGACTAAACTATTAAACCTATTATACTTTTTTTTTTTTGTACTTTCATCAAGTTCTTCAGGAACTTTGTTCTTTCAAATCCCACAGCTGTTTAAAAACAATTGCAACAGAAATGGAATCTGTCTGGTTTTTTTTATTGTTAATAACATTGTATTATGTGATACAGTTTTATAGGCATTGGGATTCCCCCTTCCCCTCCCACAACCCTTCCCCCATGGTGGATTCCTCCACCTTGCTGCATAACCACAGTTCAAGTTCAGTTGAGATTCCTTCATTGCAAGCATATACCTAGCATAGAGTCCAGCATCTTATTGTCCAGATAAGTTCAGCGGTTTCTAGGGGAGACCTTCTCTGGTCTGAAGGTAGAGCTAACAGAGTAAAGTCCCGGTCAGTTAAAAGCCCCAACAAAACATCAGCAACAATATACAGTGTTATGGAATTAATTGACATAGTATTGAGTAAACAATATGTAAAAAATAATGCAAGTTCAATTTTTCAAAACACATGGGTTGAGACAGTATCAATGACAGGTTCAAAAACAAATAAACAAATAAACAAACAAACAAAAAATTACCGGTTAAATTAAGGCAAACATGTGGTATCTAACCCTTTGGGATTCGCTCATTTCCCTTAGTTGGGCCCATTTAGCCACAAAGAACTGCATTTTGTTTTTTTTAATAGCTGAGTAGTATTCCATGGAGTAGATGAACCAAAGCTTTCTTATCCAATCTTCTGCTGATGGGCATTTCGGTTGCTTCCATGTTTTGGCAATTACTGATTGTGCTGCTATGAACATAGGGGTGCATGTTGGTTTGTCATGAAACAGGTGTTTTGGATATATTCCTAGGAGTGCTATTGCTGGATCATATGGTATGCAGATTTTGAGTTAAGTGTTCTCCATAAAGGCTGTACCAGCCGGAATGTGTCTTTAAACTGAATTTTACAGTGTTTGCGCACTCTGGGATCAGGTTGATTTTTCATCTTCCTCACAGCGCCAGCTCCCTGCCTCCTCGTGTCCATTTTACTCGTGGGGAATCTGTTCTGTCTGGTCACTGAACGACACTCAGCTTTTTTATTAACAATGTTCTGGACTCAGTTCTTGATTCTTTCTGAAAAATGTCCAGGATGTCTGCTCTGTTCCTGGCCTTGAGCAGTAATTTCTCTTCAGCAAATTGAATGACTGACACCTTCCTCACTCTGCCCTCAGAAATATTGCTTCTTAATTTCCCCAAGCCATCAAATGCCCAAACTTTCTCAATCAGCTTTCTACAGTTTAGTCTTAACCCTTTCTTACATGTGTCTTGTTCTCCCCCCCCTTTAATATCTTTTGTTTCAGTAGTTTTGGAATCTTTCCATCTATTCATATCAAAGACCTTGTTTAATACTCAACAGCTGAGTAAGTTTGACCATGTGGGCTAGTTTTTCCTAAGCCCATTGTTGTGCCATTTGATCCTTTTGCTCCTTGGTCATTTATGGTGGAGCTATAAATTCTAAGGTTGCTTTTGTAGATTATATTCTAATGATTTTGGAAACTACCTTTGTCAGACTTGCCTTCAGAGAATCTAACTCTTCAGAATATTATTAATAGTAAATTTCAGTTCTTCCAGGATGTTTTGTTTTTTTTGTAAGTGGCCAAAATTTAATCAGGGGACCCGGCGCAGTGGTTTGGCAGCTAAGAACTCACCTTGAACTCGCCGGGATCCCATATGAGCACCGGTTCTAATCCCAGTGATTCCACTTCCCATCCAGCTCCCTGCTGGTGGCCCGGGAAAACAGTCCAGGATGGCCCAAAGCCTTGGGACCCTGCACCTGTGCGGGAGACCTGGAGGAGGTTCCTAGCTCCTGGCTTTGGATCAGCGCAGCACCAGCCGTTGCGCTCACTTGGGAGTGAATCATTGGACGGAAGATGTTTTTCTGTCTCTTCTCTGTATATCTGACTTTGCAATTAAAATTAATCAGAAGATTTGAGGAATAGAATGAGCAATCTCATTTTGACTTTACAAGTTTTACTGCATTATTTTACTGTGCATGTGACTTAATTTGTCTTAAGAAAACATTCCATGTATTTCATAGATACAGTTCTGTGAATGATACTCCCCTCCGATTTGATAGTAACTCATTAGATTCCTCTGATCTCCACAGCACTAGGATATTGTAATTATTCAGTACATCTCTTAATTGTATATTTACATAAACTTAGGTCTACAAATATATAAAATGTCAATTTAAGTAAAATAGAAGCATGACATCTGTGAATGTGTCAGCTTCAATTTTGATGATTTTCAAAGGACCACAGTCAGTATAGCTTAGCTGAGGCACAGCTGCTCAAGCCCTAAGATGCTGACGTACAGAACAAACTAATTTAGACAGTAGTATGTCTAAGCAGGGTACCATCCCTTATCGTGGCTTTACTCTGCACAGAGGAAATCCTGAACTGGGACGAGTACTGTGTGAGATCAGGCAACCCCTCAAGGGTCAAAATAGATCTCAAAAAGCCAGTATACCAATGAAAGAAGTTTCCTTATTTAGTTAGATAGCCTCAGTCACATCAGGCTCAGACCTCAGGTGCGCCCATTACAAACCCAGCGCTGGAAGCAGGAAGGAGAGGGGACCAGGGGATGGGTGTTTGGTTTCATGGCTATCTCGTGTATGTTGAATGCAGTTTTGCAGTTTTTCAGTTTCAGTATGTAACGCACCAAATACAAAGAGTAGCGAACACGGAGGCTTTTTAATCTAATTGAGTTGGACATATTTTTATAGTATTAACGGGGAAATTGCTTTGAATAAATTGCCATTGTTTCATTGTTCTAGACTGAGAATTGAGAAACAAGCCCGCATCGCAGCAAGGAAGAAGCACTTAGAGAAAAAGAACGAGAAATTTCTTCAGAAAAAGTTTCCACATCTTGCTGAAGCACAGAAATCAAGTCTTACTTAAGATATATGAAATTTTGATTTACCATTTTTCTTGCTTAATGGTCCATTCAGAAGTAAAAATGGTTATTGAAAAACTGTTTTTAGTCAGATAATGTATCAGCTCATTTGTTAATATGATAAACTAATTCTGGAAATGATGAAGTTTCTATGAAAATTCTTTAATTTGCTGGACTAGCACGTTTCTATGAAAATTCTTTAATTTGCTGGACTAGCACTGTGGCATAGCAAGGTAAGCTGCCACTTGCAAGACTGGCATGCCTTCGTGAGCACCTGTTTGAGTGCTGGCTGCTCCACTTCTGACCCAGCTCTCTGCCAGTGTGCCTGGGAAAGCAAAGATGGTCCAAGTCCTTGGATCCCCACACCCACACTGGAGACTCAGTTGGAGTTCCAGGCTTCTGGCTTCAGCCTGGCCAAGCCCTGGTCATTGTGTTGTGGCTATCTGGAAACAACCAGCAGATGGAAAATTGTAACTCTGCCTTTCGAATAAAAATAAATCTTAAAAATGATCCAAGGCCAATTGATGTTTTACCCATCTTCTATGCAGGTTTAAATATCACTTGCAGTCTTAAGACAAAGTGATGTTAAATGCCATAGCAAAGATAGTTTTCAGAATTCAGGTGACATTTTCCAAAGCAGTGTTTAATAAATAGGACGTGCAGTGTATGTGTGTACTGTTATCGATAAACAGTAAGGATTTTCACCCAAAATAATGGTACATATATTTAGTGCTCAAAGTAACAAGTCACGGGGCTGCTGTTTGGCATGGCAGTTAGCACACCTCTGTCACTGTGCTGGGTCACAGAGCTGGACTCCACTTCCCTTGGTGGCCTCCTGTAGATGTGCACCACGGGAGGCAGCAGGTGAATGGCTCAGCTCCTTGGTCACTACCACCCACGTGGGAGACCTGGATCAAGTGGGTTCCTGACATAAGCATGGCCCAGCCCAGCCTGTTGCAGGCTCCTGAAGAAACCAGCAGGTGGAAGATCTTTTTGTCTCTACCCGCCCTCAAATAAAATAACTTTTAAAAAGTAGCAAATCACAATGCACAACAGACCAAAAAAAAAATATTCTAGAATGGGTAGTAAATTTTATTGAATTTTATAAGCCTAAGTAAAAAGCATAGGCAGTAACTTTTACTAGTCAATAAAAAGCAATCCACTGGTGATTAATATACTAAACAGAGTTGGAAAGCATTTACTAAAAGCAAAATATTTAGAGAAAATAGACATTTATACAAAATTATAAAATGCTTGTAATAAGAATAAGTACATTTCAAGGAAAGCACAAACTCATTTTAATTTATAGAGCAAGTTAAAGCCTTTAAAAATTTAAGTGGAAATTGAAATATGCAAAAATGTATAAACATTCTACAAAAGATGGTCATTCTTTTCCTGAGTAGACTAAAGCTATGAGACGTAAGGTGACACAGGAAGGTGGAGGTGCAGGAACTCAAGGGCATTTCCTTTCCACACACTGCTTCCCTCCTTCTTCATACTCCTGCTTGGAAATCCACATCTGTTGGAAGGTGCCCTGTAAAATGTGAAGAAATGCAATTAGACCTTATTTTTCAGCATAAACATTTCTTAATTTCAATGTCTATCGCATGTTCTAAACATGCTCTAACTTTTGGCTGATCTGAGGTAAAAGAATTGTTCCCTAGGTCAACTGGTTGACCAAGTCTACCTTGGTGAATCCCCAGGCCTAGGAACATGTTGCAAAGCTTGACCAGGACAGAGGTCCAACCTGTTCTGCTTTCCGTCCTCTGATGAGGCAACTGGCATCTGCTGGCCTAGATGAGCTGGCTGGCATGTCCTCTGTGTGCCTCTGGGCATGCTGTCCACTGCACATGCATCAACAAGTAAGGAAGCCCAGCACAAATATGTGCACTTCAATGTCTGACCACATATATTATAATTATCCCTGCAGTTGGGGGTGGAATTTAGCCATCTAGGCGGAGAATCCCCCTAAAAAACTCATCTGGGATGACATCAGACTTCACTCTTGTGTGAACTGCCCAGTACAGGGTCAAGTTCGATCCATCACCTGCACCAGCTAAGGCACCTACTGGTGAAACAAGCTGCCAAGTCAGTTCTCCCCCCAACCCCACCTCGTTTGAACTGAGGGGTGCTAAGGTCCTAGTCCAGCTCAACCTAACACTGGCACAGTCTTCACATGTATCAGAGTGTCATGGCCTAGCTGGGGCAACCTCAAATAACCCCCAGCAGGCCCTCCTCCAGCCTTGGTTTTTGCATGTACCACCAAGTGCTGTAGCCATCCCACATTTCATCTACCTCTTGTGCACACCCATGGGTCCTGCAGCTTAGCTCAACCCAATTTACCCCAGACTCAGTCCACACATATGCTGACATGGGCTGCTGTCTTGCCCAGCCCAGTTTGCTATCAGCTATGGGTCTTATGCTCACCAGTGAAAGCTGCAGCTTAGCAGGGAGTGCCCACAATTTCCCTACCAGGTCCACACCTAGCTTCAGGGGTACTGAAGCCTAGCCTGACATCACTTGTACCCAGCCCTGGCACTTGCCAGTGGGCACTGTGGCATGGCACAACTGACCTGCGCCCATTCTGGTTTTCATATGCACCAGCAGGTATGGCAACCTAGCCCAGCCCTCAGGTGAACTGGTAGGCATTACAGTTTAACCTGGCCAGGACTGCACCCTGTCCTGGCTCTCAGTTGTGCCAATGTGTGCTATAGACTGGCCCACCCCCATACCCAAATCACACATACAGCAAAGGGTACTGTAGCCTTGCCCAGTCCAGTCCACCCATATTCCCAGCTCTTGCACACTCTAGCAGGAACCCCCAAGTTTCCTTACCAGGCCCGTTCCCAGCCCTGGATCTTACATATACTGGCAGATTCTTCAACCAGCCTGGCATGGCTTAGCCCTTCCCCAGCCCCTGCCATTGTTTCCTCAACAGGAGATGTGGCCTAGCAGGGGAGTTACTCAAATTCCCCTACCAGGCCCAGGATCTCACATGTGCCAGAGGATACAGTGACTCTGCCTGACATGATCTGAACTCAGTCCTTGCCTTTGCATATGCCAGTGGGTGCTGCAGCCTGGCCGGCCTGCCTCCTCCTAGCCCCAGAGCCTGCAAGTGTCAGGCAGGTTCCTATAAGGCAAGTTCCATGGTACAGCCTGGCTTGGCCTGTCACCCCCACCCCCACTTTCAGCTCTCAAAGCAAACCAGCAGGTGTTGCAGTACCAGAGGTGAGCCTACAAGTCCCCTACAGAATCTGTGCCCAGCTCTGGTTCTCTCGCATTCTGGTGGATGCTGCGGTACAACCTGACACGGGTCAACCTTGCTTCCACATTCAAAGGCAGATACCATGGCCTGGCCCAGCCAGGCATGTGCCCAAGCCCCAGTTTTTGGTGTGCCAGCAGGTGATGCTACTTAGCACAACCCAGGTCTCCCACATGGGCAGGTGCCTTGGCCTGACCGGACACACCCCCTATTTTCTCCCTCTAAACCACCCCATCTCAGTTCTCTTGCATACCCAAGTGCAGCTGCCCAGTCTGTGGAAGACCCAACAAGCATTCCTCCCCTGTCAAACATGCCCTCAGTTACTTCCACTCTGTCCCCAGACCCCCTTCGCTGGGCAATCTGGAGCCCCCCTGGCCTCCCATCCACCAGTCTGAGGGCTGGCCTGTGTTCCCCAATTTCCCCACGTATCTGTTAAAAAAAAATAGAATAGCCAACAATGCTGGCATAGTTAACACAAATTTGGCACACTGGCTGCTTTTCTCTGAGCAGTTTAACACTTGCCTAGGTGCAGAGCAATCTAGGCAGTTGTCTGCAGTGGGGAAGAATATTTATTGTTGACAAGTAGCTTATCTACCTACCAAAGAGGCTAGAATGGAACCACCAATCCATGAACTAAACCTCCGTTCAACCGTCGTGTTATTTGCAATCAATTTCAACCGCATACTCTACAACAAAGAATAAGCATTAGTACATTCAAATCAATCAGCTGACTTGGAAATTCAGTTTTAAGAGATTTCCATCATCTCTGATTTAAATACCAATTAAAAATAATTTTCAAATATACAATTAAGGTGGACGATTACATTGCAAGTATTCCGATTACAGCTGTACGCTAAGAAGTGTAACAGCCACAAACAGCGTGTGTATGTGTCCTGTAACAGCAGACACATATCTGGCACTCCAAGTCAGGAACCTGGTACTTGCTTCACATACTGCTAGCCTGCTCTGCCTCCCTCTCTACAGCCCTCCACACTCCCCATGCTCCCCCGTCGGCCTTTCATGCTATCTCCATCCTTCCCATTGCAGCTTACTCTCACCCTCTCCCATGTTAAAATGCAGTCATCAGATCTCAGGTGTTTTATTCAAATTCCCCTCATTCCTAACTATGCCTCTGAGAACTTGTACTGATGTAACAGACACACTTTTATGGCTCAGCACTATCCCATCTCACCTTCTACATCAAGATGTTTTCCCTCCCACTTAGGAATCAGCCTTTAGGGACAGTTCCCAGGATACCTTTCAGTTGCTCTATATGTGAGTTTGAGTCTTATTCACAATGAAGGGTGTATGTGTGTGTGACAAGGGCTTAAAGTACTGGCTATGTGGGTGGTGCTAAGGGCAAGTGGGTGAGCACAGGTTTCTGAAGATGAGAAACTTCAATATCTATGACAATGGAATTCTTTTCCTATTTCACTGATTTTTAATTCCTAAATGAAAAAAGACTGTTTCTATGGTGGTCTCGTTAGACCTTAGATTACCCAAATCTATATTCATTATTCAGACTTTGATGAAATGCAGTCATGTCCTTCCTAGATGTCTTTCATAAAGTTGGCAACTAGCTGAACTCTTATTCATTCACAATGCCTTCCTGATGGTCCTGACCATTCAGTGTTCGCTTCTGAGCACCCGGGGACACCTGGTTCATGGCCTGCTGGCGCTCTCAGCAGTACAGCTGTCAACGTTTACAACTCTAACTAGCCTGGCAGACTGTGCTCTCAGGGTCTAATAATATTTGTATCCCTACTGTCAAGCAGATAACAGGAACTTAAGTATGAAGTAAATGAGTAAAACGAGATTCAAGTAACCAACAGATGTCACCTAGGGAAATCTAACTAAAAAAAGAATGCTACTTTTAAATAATTCTATACCAAAAAAAAAAAAAAAAAAAGAAACTGATCTGCTGAAAACAAAAACACTTAGTTGTACCATTACACCTTTGTTGAGGGCATTTGTTGATGAGTCCACAGAACTTACTGGAGGAGTTTTCTGAGACAGCTCTCTGTTCAACCTATCAGTGAAGCTCTGTATGAGTGTGTTTCCTCCAGCCACGATCACGCTGCCATAGAGACCCTAGGACAAGAACAAGGACAAGATGACTTCCAAAGTTTTCCAACAGTGCTAACTACAAGTGTAAGTAAAACTTCTCTACTAAAATTTTCTTTTGAAACTACTGTGCTTTTTAATTAACTTAAATACAAATGCTGAGGCCTGCTCAAATGTAAATCCCTATTTTATAAGGAGTATATTTACCACTAATTTGAATATATGCACAGAAAAGTTAAATGTTAATCCGCTCTTTCAGTAGTTTAGTTCCTATTTCAAAAACTCACTCTAAATGTCTGACTTACCTAAATTTACAAAAGGTATTTTCAGTCTTATTTGTAAAAGGAAGAGGAAAGTGAATGCCAAAAACAGCCAGTTCTACGCTTGGCTGGGCTGAGGTTAAGAGCTGGGACCTCAATCCAGCTGAGCGGCAGGCACCCAACCACTGAGCCGTCATTTGTTGTCTCCCAGGGGCACGTCAGCAGGAACTATGGAAGTGGCAATGAAATCTAGTCACTTTCATTTGGGCACCCCAAGTAATAATAAGGCAAATGCTTGGCCTCTAAATCATCTAAATTTGGGGAGAAAATGGAAAGTGTCTCCTCTGCAATCAATGCTAGTTAAAAGGGGAAATTTCACTATAAACTGGAAATTATCACTTTGTTGCATTAAGTATGCTTCAATTTCTGTCCACCAAAATGGCCCTGAACTTGTACTAGAAAAAAAAATCGTATATTTACTACTTTTATTATCTTAGAAACAGCATATACCCAGTTAAGTCACAAGTTGCAATTAAGAATGATTTTTCTGTCAACCATGATGTTCATATCTCCCCAAGCCATTTGCATGAAGTTCAAAACAAATTAATTAACAAAAAATCAAGGCTGTATCTGTAAATTGAATCTAGGTTTGAGTAAGATATAATCCATCTAATAAAAATATAATGTGCTTTACAGTATTAGAATTAAAACTTGACAAAGCACAAAAATATGAAGACTATCTAAAATAAACCCCATGTGAAAGTAATGTAAAACCACACTTTCCTAAAAATAAATTAAAATAGAAGTGAAACTGTTACATAGAAGATAAATCACAAATAACACACTTGGGGCCTGGTGCAATGGCTCACAGGCCAAATCCTCGCTTAGCATATGCCAGGACCCCAAGTCCTCATTGTTCCACTTCCCATCCAGCTCCCTGCTTGTGGTCTGGGAAAGCAGTCGAGGACGGACCAAAGCCTTGGGACTCTGCACCCAAGTGGGAGACCTGGAAGCAGCCCCTGGCACCTGGGCTGGGATTAGCTCAGCTCCAGCCATCGTGGCTACTTGGGGAGTGAAGCAGCAGATGGAGGATCTTTCTGTCTCTCCTCCTCTCTGTAAATATGCCTTTCCAACAAAACTAACAAATCTTAAGAAAAAAACTGTTTTGGTTTGCCACATTTGAGGAAATCTCCAGAATAGCACTTGCAAAACAATTTCCTATGATGAAGGAAATGTTCTTACTGCCCAATATATCAGCCACTGCTCATATGTATAATGAGGCTGGTAACAAATGAAGAACTGAAGTTTCAAATTTTTCCATTACTTTACATTACTGCATATGACCATCAGCCACTGTGCTGGACACCACAGCTCTACAGAGTTTTGCATTTTTCCTTTTTTAGTATTTATTTATTTACATATATAGTACTGTATCTGTAAATAAAATGAACTTCAAAGTCAGTGTCCAAAGCTGCCACATGGACAGTAACTATTTGGGCCATTTCACTACCCTGAAAGATACTTTTATAACACAATAGGAGATGGGAACTTACTGGTCTGATATCAATATCACACATCCCAACACTTGTGGTAACAACGTGACTCACTCCCAGCATTGTATTTCCTGATAATCCCTACAACAAAAGAAAGCAAACAGTCATATGGAAGAAATCTGTACAATACAGCATGTCCAAACATCATTCAGCTTTAGATTTTTCCTACGTACACAGCTGTTCACATGTAAAGAAAAACGAAGGCTAGTTATAAAATAAACTTTCATACTTTTACATTGGAAGGGTCAAATAATCCTTCAGGAATCTTCAGCCGTTCAGCGCCAAAGTCGCAGTTGTAGCCATTGGGGAACTCATAATGAACAGTTGGCATTTGCGCAGCTACTCTGAAAACACATCAACATTTATTACACCAGAAGCAAAACACAGTCCCTTCAAAAATCATAAACCACCAAAGAACTATCAACTCATAATCAATCAGAAGATTTTAAAATGTTGCTCAGTGTATTTTGGCATAACTTTAACTCTGTATCAATTATCTACATTCTACTATTTCTTATATATGCAAATAATTCCCTCACTTGTAAAGCATATCGTTTAAATAAGAAAACATACTGTTCATCATAAGTTGAATCTGACACTTGAAGTACTGAAGCCTGAAAGTCCTGGATAACACACTGCGGATGAAAAAAACAAAGTTTAAGAAATAAGGTTTAGATTTATCTTTGCCATTTACACTTCTACAACATTACATTTGTAATATTTTTTGGAATGAAATGATCACATTGCTGAATGAGTAACTGATCTCAACAGTAGTAAATCTTCCTTACAAAAACTCCAAGCGTCCAGAAACCCAATTCTAAACATTTATATTATGTTAAATTGCATACATTCAATTATAACAGTTACAGGGAATCGACGAGAGGTGACAAAATGGAAACTCTCCATATTTCTGTATAACAAAACCAATTTCAGAATACCATTTTTCCTACTAAGATTTAGAAATAAGATTCCATTTCTTAAATATATGCATAGACACACATCACATCTTACGTAACTTTCAATCATTGTATGTAGGATAAGATAGTTTAAAATTTTGTTGTGAAACACACTTCTGGATTGCTAGGGAAAATTAGGAATCATACAATTTTTCCTTGTATCTTGAGGTATAAAAAAAATCTCAGCTAAGACTCATTATTCTCATGGTAATTAGGACTCTGCTACCCTTCTCTTAGAAATTAATAAGGGGGCTGGCACAGTGGTACAGCAGGTGAAGCTGCTGCTGCATCACCACCATCCCATGTGAATACCAGCCTGAGTCCTGACTATTCTGCTTCCAGTCCAGCCTCCTGCGAAGGCGGCTGGGAAGGCAGCAATGGCCTACATGCTTGGACCATGCCAACCACGTGGGAGACCAAAGTGGAATTCCAGACCATGCTGTGCCCATTTGGGGACTGAACCAATAAATAAATAAATAAATAAACCTTTCAGAAAATAAGAAATTAATATGTACCTGTGATATGACTAATTGTTTTACCAGCCTCTCTCCCTGTTAGCAAGCTGTAGGTTCAGACATAGACTTTCTCAGGAAAGAGAAGATTTCAAATCAGTTTCAAATCAGCTCCTTGCTATAAACAGTCACACACACTTGACACAACGTTGGGAGACACGTGACTGAGTTACACTGGCAGCCAGTAACCCTAGCGTTATAAGTCAATACAGGAAAGGCAGAAATGCAATCCAATTACGACATTCAGGAGGTAAGCCTAGCGGGAGGGAGGAACTTGCATCACTAAGGGCTTGTCCTTAGAACGCAGCTCTTGGAAGGCTAGTAAGGAAAGCCTGAGCTGGACCTAGCTATCTCTCGGCTTCCTGGCTCTTGATGTGACTTTTCTGCTACAAGTCCCCTATCACTGCCACTCACCACCCTCACCAGCGAGCAGAAGCACTGGGGCCCAACTCGTTGTCTGTGAACCTCCAAGACCATAAGCCAAAATAAACCTTTCTTTTTTTTGGGGGGTTTTTTTTTGGTTTTTTTTTTAAAAGATTTATTTTTATTATTTTTTCATTGGAAAGGCAGATATACAGAGAGGAGAGACAGAGAGGAAGATCTTCCGTCCAATGATTCACTCCCCAAGTGAGCGCAACGGGCCGACGCTATGCCGATCCGAAGCCAGGAGCCTCCTCCGGGTCTCCCACGCGGGTGCAGGTTCCCAAAGCCCTGGGCCGTCCTCGACTGCTTTCCCAGGCCACAGGCAGGGAGCTGGAAGGGAAGCAGGGCTGCCGGGATTAGAACCGGCACCCATATGGGATCCCGGGCGTGCAAGGCGAGGACCTCTAACCACTTGCGCCACCGCGCCGGGCCCCAAAATAAACCTTTCATAAGCACATGATGTTAAGTGAAAAGCAGATTAAAACATAGCAAGTCCCTACTAGAATTAAAACTATTTTCTTAGACAAAAGAAAAAGAAAAAAAAGAAAAAATGTGGGTCCAGTGCGATAGCCTAATGGCTAAGGTCCTCAATTTGCATGTGTACCTTCCATATGGGCACCGGTTCGTAACCAGGCTGCTCCACTTCCCTTCTAGCTCCCTGCTTGTGGACTGGGAAAACACTCGGGCACGGCCCAAAGCCTTGGGACTCTGCACCTGCCTGGGAGACCTGGAACAAGCTTCTGGTTTCTGGCTTCGGATCAGCTCAGCTCTGGCCATTGGCAGCCACTTGGGAAGTGGATGGAAGATATTTCTGCTTCTCCTTCTCTCTGTAGATTTGCCTTTCTAATAAAAACAAAATAAATCTAACTGAAAACCAAAATTCTTTCCATGTGTCATGATGATGCCCATGAGCAAATAATTTATAGACATCTGAGGAATGTAAAAAGCACACTTCAATCCAAAAATTATTTCTAAGTATCACTAAAAACATAATGCACCAATATTTTATTCTAGGATTTCAACTTTTACAATGCGTTACTTACATTACACATGTAATTGTGCCACGACCTCGTAACCTGTGGCAGTTTCTCTTTTCTTTTCCAGTTTGCTGGAGATCCTTCCCGCACAGCTTCCTGAGGGTTCCAAGACACGCTAGGTTAGCAGAGCTCACGACACAGAGGGACCTGGAGACAAATCCCCAAAGCAGTCACTGCTTACCTTGGATGCAATCATATATGGGGGAATCAATTCTATGTTCATTTCTTGGAAGAGTTCTCTGCATTGCATAGTAATAAAGTCTCCAGCAAGGGGGGATTTTACAATACCTGTAAGACAGATTGAACCAGGCCAAGAGACTTACATCCTAATTCTAGGGAGCGGGGCGGGGGGGGGGGAGGAATTTCCTCAGTATGTTTTTACATGAACAATTTTTTTTTCCAAGTAGAAGTAACTATTTTTTTTAAACAATTCTTTAAAGTATACGTAAGTGGGGCCAACACAGTGGCACTGTGGATTACATCACTGCCAGAGGTGCTCACATCCCGCATGGCAGTCGGCTTGAGCCCCAGCTGCTCTGCTTCCGATCCACCTCCTGGCTAATTCCTCTGGGAAAGCAGTGTCATGGCTCAAGCAGACCAGGTTCCCTGCCAGGTCACACAGGAGACCTGGATAAAGTCACAGGCTTCCGTGTTCAGCCTGGCCCAGCCATGGCTGATGTGGCATTTTGGGGAAGTTAACCAGTGGCTAAAAGATGTTTCTCCCACCATCTTTGTCACTTTGAATGTAAAATAAATGAATCTTTAAAGTATACATAATATCAGACATCAGTTTCAAATATTGAAAATTTCTAAAAGACATATGGAAACTGATATGTCCTGACAGTTCGGTTCTATTTCATTCTCCTGACATCTAAGCTCATCTGAATGCACCCCAACTAGATACCCTTACCCTGCTGGAGGACATAGCCATCGTGCACCGGAATCGCAGTGGTATGCGTGGCTCCACTGTCCAAAATCAGACCAGTAGAACGACCATTAGCAAATCTAGTTTAAAGCATTAAGGAAAAGAAAATATCCAACTTCCAAAAATTTATCTTTATTGTCAAGGACAGGCTCTTATGTATTTCAGAAGCCATTTTAAAAACATGAATTATAGTTTGGATTTTAAAGTAAATCTAGGAATAAAAACTGGCATCAAATAATAATTCCCATTTGAAAACAAATGACAGAGAGCAATACTTCCTCGTATTGGTGTGAGGAATTCAAGGAAACCAAAGCAGGCCAAAATTAATAATCATTTCAAAACTTGTCCAGTTTGATCAAAGAGCTTAAACAAATTGAAAAGCATTCCTTTAACAACGTGAACGGAAACTTGCTGACAAAAGTACAGGGTGTGCTGTTCGATCAGGGACTACACCCATCTTACACAGCACCAAGGAACCATCTCGGTGGTCTAGCAGCTGAGCAGTGATTATCATTCTTGCAATGTATGGGGCCAAAGGGCTATTCCAGTGTCCCCAACAGCCAGTGAATACCAGCAGACCCCACGTGTCAGAGCTCTGTGCTGCTGAAGGCCTACATTGCACGACAGGCATCTGTCCATCCAGTACTTTCTGAGAGTATTTAGTGTGCCTGCTGAGTCTGGGGGTGAAAGGGACAATTACACACAGAAGACATGGAAAGGTGAACCAAAAATGTCTCTTCCCTGAGGGATTTCCTTTTTAGTAAAACATAACTAAAGCCTTAAAACATCTGTGATATCCTGAGACAGAAGGTATAAAGGAGATGATCACCTAACCTAATCATGGAATACCCAACTGCAAGCTTGGGCAGACAGACATGGGTCAGGTTAGGGGCACGAGGGAGAACCAAGAGATAAGAGAACATGGTGAGGTCAGGGAACTGCAAGTACTTCACTGCAGACTGAAACAGGGCTATTTTGTGTTCCACAGATACTATTATAGCTGCAGTGTAAAGAATGGGCAAGGTAAAAGCTACAGTAATCCTGTAAGCAAATGTATTTTGGGCAACACAATGGTTCTGCTGGCTAATCCTCCACCAGCATCCTATATGGGTATATGGATCCTAACTGGTATATGGGTACCAGTTCACATCCCATCCAGCTGCTCCACTTCCCATGCAGCTTCCTGATTATGGCCTGGGAAAGCAATGGAGGACGGCTCAAGTCCTTGGCACCTTGCACCGTGTCAGAGAACCAAAAGAGGGTCCTGGCTCCCAGCTTTCGGTTGGCTCGGCTCCAGCCATTGCGGCCACTTGCAGAGTGAATCAGCAAACAGAAGCTCTCTCCCTGTCTCTCCTTCTCTGTAAAATCTGCCTTTCCAAATAAAAACAGAAATAAAACTTAAAAAATGTATTTGAAATATAGCAGGGAAGAGTAGCTGGATCCTGAATGAATACATCTGGAGAATACATACTACTGGCCTGGAAAAAAGTACAAAATACTAATGGAATTAATTTGTTATTTTCTAGTAAATTTAAAACTAAATTTTAAAATTCATTTCTAATTTATAAAGTCGATGGTTTGTTTTAATATCCAATGTGATAAATACTATTATATACAACTCACATAAATAAAATCCTTTTGGATAAGCAAGGATTCTGAATCCAAAGTAGAAGAAATATCTAGAATATGAGAAATATTAAAGAAACAAGCTGCTTCTTCTAACAAACAGACAATAAGGGAAAAGAAGCAAAGATAAAACACAGACTAAGAGGCCTCAGAAACAAACTGAACAAACATGTTTTGAATATTTTTTGAAAAGGAAAACAGTCATACTTTTTTTGAAACATGCAGAATCTTTTAGAGTTACATATTAAAGTTTCTATGAATGAAATTATGTAATACCCAAGACTGGATGGGATGGGATAATACAGTGATAGCTAAAACAACCATTATACATCATATAATCATATCCCATTTTCTTATAAAGGACTTTTATAAGACTTTTATATTCCTCCTCTGAACTACCACAATTACTAGACACAAAACATTCAAATTAATCATGTACTTCTTAATGATTTCTGACAATGCTGAAATACAATTTAAGTGTTACAGTACTTAGCTTTGAAGAATATTTGAGTTACAGATTCTCTGATTCAATACATGTTTCCTTGTTTGTCCCTAAAAGTGCCTGCATAATAGTCTGAGTAAACCTTAACCGGATTTACAGCCAAATTACTTGCTGATACTCGAAGGGAGGGAAATGGCGAGCTGCATTCATTTCAGCAGCTCTGTTAAAACACTGGTCTACAGCCCACACTCTCTTTACTAAAATGCAACCACACACACGGCCTGTGAACATTTATAATTTGAGCGCCACACTGCCGTTTCTGCCCCATCGTTGGGTGTATCACTAGTTTCAATTAGAAATAATCAGAAAGCTAATATCTGAAAGCTATACAAAAGAAAGCAACTTCTGAATGAGCAAGAACTGGCTCATGTCTCCTGCCAAGATCGGCTTATATCTTTAGTAGCAGCAGAATATATTCTAGAGAAAACTGCGTTTTGCTCTTTGAAGGATACGCTGTCAGAACTGCAGTTTTACAAAGGAAGAACGCAGGGATGTTGTAGTGTTCAAACATTAATTCTGTCAGTTTCTCTCTTTTCGCTCTAGTATTCCACTGAAAAAGGAAGAAGAAATGCAAGTTACTGTTTAAGAATGTTGATTTATCACAAGTTAAAACACGCTAGCAATTTAAATTGTATTTAAAAACAATAAGTAACAATATGTAAGTAACTTTTTACATCTCTACATTTATTTTTTGTAAAGATATAACAAATGAATCAGATACAAACTAACATTTACTATTTAAAACTGATGCTGTGAATTCCAGGATTTATAGACTTCAAAAACACAAGGCAGTCAGCATTCTCATAAACATAGCTATTATTAAATCTTAAGAGAGCATGTGATAATAAAAATCCTAAATATTTAACTTAAACCATCAGATTCTCCCATTTAACATTGGTACTCACAGAAGCCATAACCAGAACCAGCGGGACCTGGTCATATGCAGTTCTCCTGCTGGCCGCTCGAGCCCTACTCAGCTATTTACCAGAGATTTCAGTCTAGAATTGTCCAGGCCTTGTTCCACAAATGACTTCTTAGAGCCTCAGTACAGAAGCAGGTTCTACAACGCCCTCGGGACACACAGCATGATACACAACCCACATCAGGAAGCACTTCAAGGAAATCAAAGTTTAAATCCACAGGAATGTAAATTACCCGGGTCTACCAGCCATTATTATGTTTTGCTGTTCTTTGAATCTTTTATTCAAACAATGAAAGCTATACTTTTCAAACTCTATTATATAACAGAAATATTTCTCAAACGAGTTGAAATCTAAAAGAAAAAGAATAACTAAAAAAAGAAAATGAAAACAAAGAAACAAAAACCATGCAAAAGAAAGTGTGTATCTCACCGGGGCTTCTGACATGAGAACAGGATGCAGGCTGGCCTCTGATTTGACATGCATTTTATAGGTATGGTCCAGAATAGCCTGGAAACTATCCCAATCTTCAACTAGAATGAAAGAACAAGAGCTTGAAAACAAATGCTTAGCCGCAGAAGAGTAAATATCATTTAAAAGAAGGATTCTTCGACTTAGCAGTTAGCATTTCAATACATAGAGCCTATTTATTTTTCAGGTCTACTTCATAATATAGTACTTTAATGCAAGGTCACCTTGTTTTCGAGAAATAGAATCCCCTCTAGTCCCTCCAAACACCGAGACATGTTCTAAATGTCAAATATCAAACACATAAGGAGTATTTGAAAAGTTTGAGGAATATGAAATACAATGCACATTTTCCATGAACTTTTAAAGATCCTTCATGTTATTCAAAAGTGTATTTCAGTTCTAGTTACTGATCATAAAGGTCAAAAAAATTTGAAAAGGGGCCAAACATGGTAGTTTAGCAAGTCCTTGCCTTGCATTTGCTGGGATCCCATATGGGCGCTGGTTTGGGTCTCAGCAGCCCTGTTTCCCATCCAGCTCCCTGCTTGTGGCCTCGGAAAGCAGTGGAAGACAACCCAAAGCCTTGGGACCCTGTACCCACATGGGAAACCCAGAAGAGGCTCCAGGCTCCTGGCTTCAGATTGGCTCAGCTCCAGCCATTGTGGCCACTTAGGGAGTGAATCATTGGACAGATCTTTCTCTGTCCTTCCTTCTCTCTGTATATGACTTTCCAATTAATAAAAAAAAATACAACAAATCTTAAAAAAAATTTCAAAAGAATGTTATGACCTAGGCTTCACACTCAAAAAAATTACATTATTTGGAAAGATTAAAAGATATTCATAGAATAACACACTTCATCTAAACATTCCACCAAAACTGCTCTTCCAAGTCAGTAGCGGCTTATCAGGCAAATACAATGTATATTTCATTGACTTTTCTAACTCCTATGACACTACTGACCCCTGCAGACCCTACTCCTCCACATTACAGTCCTACTTAATTGTATGGCATTTCAAAATTCCATCCCTCCACATGTCATGGTACCTCTGCTTTATCCAATCCTGTCAACCAGGCTATTTCAACCAGGCCAATTTTCATTAACTAATGAATATTCAGGACAAAAATTATTTCCTGTGTGAAAACCATCACCAACTCCCCAATGATACAGAATTAAATACCTCTCCTCCTAACCCACTTCATCTGCAGTACCCCATTTGTAGGTATATATCTGTTACTCTTCCCAAGTAAGTTTCTTGAGGAAAAAGAACATTTCTTTCACACTTTGTTTCTATGTCTAAACACCCACTCCAAATTCTAGGAAGCCATTACTCTGTACCTAGAATTCTAGTATCTTACATTTTGACCAAATTCATGATAAAAACATCATACCCATCCCATTTTTTAACGGTGAAATGGCCTCCATATTCTCCCTGGGAACACGCAGGGCATTGGTGTCTATGTAGTACGTAGGACCGCCTTGTTTGCCTTTATCTCCATCTATTTCCATCAATGTGCTTCCATCATCTCTTTCTACTACCATACCAATAGCTGTTGGGAAATCCACCTGTAAGAACCAAAACATGATATATAAATTTCACTGGCTTTTACCAATTTTTTCAGTAATATCTTCAGCCATTTTTGTGTGTTATCAAATATCTTCCTGAATTCATTCTACACAAATGATCCTTATACAAATAACCAATTAACTCTAATACTACATTTACCTTGGGGCAGTCCTCACCAGCGTAACCAGCTCTCACAGTATAGGACCCAATGTCAAAAACAAGGGCTCCAACTTCATCTGAAAAGATTAAAAGATAACTAACATTAACAACTTGTAAATGTCAAAGGAAAGTTAAAGAAATCCTTAACCAGCCTGAAGGGAGACTGTAATATGAAAGCTCTACAACAATTACATTCTCATTCCTACTAGTTTAAACCTACTTTGAAACACTCCCGAAACATTCATTTAATTAAAATATAACCATTTATACACCGTGTTTTAATAGAGGCTCAAAAAGGAACTGTAACCAGAACCTGGAAAACATGTTGAGGAGGATAGGGTATGTACCAGGAGCAGGGGTCTTCAATTGAGCGATGCAGTCACATGACTGACCCCAACAGGAATAACCCAGGCCAATCCCTTCCTGCCATTAAGTACAGTAATTTTAAAATTTATCATCAAACTAGGACACTTCTGAACACAAGAGGGGGTCCTGCTAATGACTACTCAAGGATATGAAGCACAAAGCAAGAATGATTGTTGCTCTGTCACTGGCTGCATTCCAGCAGAAGTCAAGGCCAAGAGCGCCCATGAGGCGGACTATGAACATCAGCATCCACAGAGAGATGATGCAGAGACAGTGCAAAGTCCATCTGACAACATCAGCATCCACAGAGAGACGATGCAGAGACAGTGCAAAGTCCATCTGACAACATCAGCATCCACAGAGACGATGCAGAGACAGTGCAAAGTTCATCTGACGACACAGGGAATGCTGCCCAGTACATTTAACCATCAATTTGTCATAAATGAAGAGAAGCTGTTTTTCTTGTAATTAGGGGAGAAAAATGGCAAAACCTCCAGGAAAAATAAGGAGTTCAAGAGTAAAGGTTTAAGGTAATGGCCAAAGAAAAATAATCAAAATGAAAGTATTACCAAAGTCTGCACATTTCAAAGAATATTAGGAGATAAAGTTTACAGCTGAGGAAGAAAGCTGGCAATTATTTCTCCACTTTGAATTCAGAGAAAATCTTCTAATTATACTTATAAAATACTTCATCCATCTAGTAGGCCTCCTAAAACAGAGTATTTTGGTTTTTCAGATCCTGAATTCAAGGAAGTTTTTTTAATCATTTAAAATAAATATTTACTTCCATTAAATTGTCAAAAAATTAAAGATTCATTTATTTTTATTAGAAAATTAGATATACAGTGAGAAGAGACAGAGAGGAAGATCTTCCGTCCGATGATTCACTCCCCAAGTTGTTGCCATGGACAGAGCTGAGCTGATCTAAACCCAGGAGTCAGGAGCTTCCAGGTGCAGGGTCCCAAGGCTTTGGGGGCTATCCTCGACTGCTTTCCCAGGCCACAAGCAGGGAGCAGGTGGGAAGCAGGGCCACCGGGATTAGAACAGGCACCCACATAGGTTTCAGGTGTGAACAAGGCAAAGACTTTAGCCACTAGGCTATTGCGTCCGGTCCAGCAACAATTCTTAAGTCTGATAAAATCCAGTACTATGAAGGACTCTAAGAAAGAGGCACTCTTACACATTTTTGCCAGTAAAAATTATAAATCATTACAACCACTGTGGGCAATTGAGGCATATTCACTAAAGTTAAGGAACTATATACACAGTGATTACACCTAGATTTGAAAGAAATTTTTTAAAATATAATTTCCATTTTGTTTACATAATTGAAAGGGATGAATGCTCAGGGTGGGAAGGTTGAGGTATGAAGGAAGGTAGGTGGACAAATGTTTTAGTTCTTCTATTCCTTCCATGTCTGCAGCAGGGGAAGAAATACGACCGTTTCCCTTCCATCAGAACTAAGGGACAGGAGACACTTATTTGATGACGCCTTAGGGATCCCAACGTGGGGAAAACTGAGGGTGTTACTTGAGTGGTTTTCAGAGTTGAGGCAGCGTCAGCTTCACTGCACCAGGGTTGAGAAAATCTTGCCAAGGTCTAACGGCTGATGAGGTCCACCTTGGTGTATCCCCAGGCCTAGGAACCTGTAGCAAAGCTTCCCGAGGACAGTGCTCCAACTTGTTCTACTTTCCATCCTGACGAGACACTACTCTGCTGGCCTAGATGAGCTGGCTGACATGTCAGTGGTGTGCATGTGGGCACGCTGTCCATTACACAGGCATTGGCAAATGAGGAGGCCCAGCACCAATACATGCACTCCAAGGTCTGACCACACACATATACTGCGATTTTCCCCGTGGCCGGGATTTGAGTTCAGCCATCTAGTTGTGGAGTTTCCCAGAGAACATCACCACATGACCTCAGACTTGACACTTGTGTGCACCATCGAGTGCAGGGTCAGGTTCAGTCAGTCAGCCAATGCACACAGTTCTGCTTCCAGCCCCATAACAGGACCAAGAGGTTCTGTGGCCTCACCCAGCTCAGCATGCCACAGGCTGTCTTCAGGCACACCAGAGGGTCTTCTGGCCTAGTCTAAGCGACCTCTAATATTCCCCACCAAAGCCCCCCCAGCCCAGGTTTTCACACATGCTGGCCTGTGCTGTGGCTTAGCCCAGCCCATCTTGCATCCCATCCAGCTGTTATGAATACCACTGGGTGCTCAGCCCAATCTGGAACACACAAAGGCACCTCGTCTAGCCTGACCCTCTGCAGCCCCGGTTATCAAGCCTGGGAGCTGCAGTCTAGCCGAGGTGTACCTGAAGTTCCCCTGCCAGGCCCTCTCCCCGACCCAGATCTCACATGTGCCAGGAGGTCCTATGGTTGAGCCTGACACAACTTGCATCTGGGCGCAGTACCTGCCAGCAGATATTGCAGCCTGGCCCAGCAGGCCGCTATCCATTCCAGCTCTCTTATGCATCAGTGAGTGCAAGAGCCCAACCTACCCCCTGTCCCAGGTCTCACTCACCAGTGGAACCAGTGGCCCAGCAGGGGAAGCCTGCAAGTTCCCCTTCCAGGCCCACTCACAGCCCCAGGTCTCACTGGGTGATGCGGCCTTAATCTGTATGACTTGCCCTCAGTCCCAGCATTGCCAGCAGGTGCAGCAGCCTAGCCCAGCCCTGCACACACACCTAGCTCCAATAATCATGTGAACTGGTGGGTGAACTTTGGTAATTTACACTCAGCTTCCTAATTTGTAAAATGTGCACAATATTTCCCATCTTATAGGACCCTGTAATCATTAAATGTGCTAAATGGTTTGATGTATATGCTCACATAAAATAGAACCTGACCCACAATAAGCACATAACTGCTACTGCACAGGAAAGATCAGAAAATAATCTAACAAACTTTCTGTAGGGAAACAGACAAGCTAGCTATTCATAGATTATTCATACAATGATTTACCATATATACAGCAGATAAAATGAATGGTCTCAATCTAAAACTGTCAACCTGGATAAATCCCAAAAGAACTGTAAAGGCTGGAAAAAAAAAAAAAAGAACTATAAAGGCTGATTACACACACACACACAAGCCCCTACTATCCACATATTTAATTCATTATGGATACATTCACATGTAGAAAAAGTATCAAAATATTCATACAATCTGGAAACTTCAGTTTTAGGGTTTATCTCTAAGAAGGGAAAGAAAGGAGAGGCCTGCATTGATAATATCTTATTTCTTAAAACATCTGAGGCAGGGGCCTCGCATGATAGCTCAGCGACTAAATCCTCGCCTTGCATCCACCGGGTCCCTTATTAGTACCAGTTTGTGTCCCAGCTGCTCCATTTCCCATCTAGCTCCCTGTTTGTGGTCTGGGAAAGTAATGGAGGATAGTCCAAAGCCTTGAGAAACTGTACCCACTTGGAAGTCCGAAAGAGGCTCTTGGCCTCTGATTCAGATCAGCTTAACTCTGGCTGTTGCGACCACTAGGGGAGTGAACCAGCAGATGAAAGATCTTTCTCTCTGTAAATGTGACTTGCCAACAAAAATAAATAAATCTTTAAAGAAAATTAGAGGCAAACATGGCAAAATGAAACATTTATTTAATCTCAGTACTGAGTAACAAAGTATCAGGTATAAACACATACACACACATTTTAATTTTTAATTCATCAGAAATATTTCCAATTTTCATATTTAAAATAAGGAAAATAGGAAAACATAAGTGAATAGCTTATAGCTTAGAGTCACAGTTGAAAGATGGCATCTTTGTAAAATACTCCCTTTTTTAACAAAAGAGACAGATACTATAATTTCTAATTTGAAAGTTCATGTATGTATTAAATTTCCTAATGTAATTAACCCTTCTGCATAAAATTCTCTGGTTCCAATTATTTTATTTTATAACTATTATTTTATCCAAAACAAGGGGTTCCCAAAAGGGGAAAACCTCATAGGTTTTCACTTGCGCACCTAAACTCCAGTGCAAATGATAAAATCCAGCCATGAACACAGGCTGAGGACGGTTAACACTAATGAACCCGTAGGCTGTGTAAAGAACTATGCAGACTGAATCAGCGGCCTAGTTAGCCACGAGAAGGCCTGTTGAACGGTGCGCCTTTGTCCTGCACCAGGCACCCTTTTCAAAGTTACGTGGGCTCAACTGTGTACACTCTACTGGTCATTCGTTAAAGTCCTGACCCCCAGCACTTCAGAACAGCTGATCAGATACTTGGAAAGATAATGTAGTTCAAAGGAGCTCATCGGGGTGGGCCCTAAGTGAATACAGCTGGAAATCTGGACACAGATGGCACAAAACGGAGACAGTCTTCTACAAATGAATGACAGACCCTCAGAAGAAACCGACTTTGCCTTTGAGCTCAGACTCCAGGTTTCAGAATTATGGGAAAATAAACTTCCGTTTAAGCCAAACAGTGTGTGGTCCTTTGTTGTGGCAGTCTGAGAAAGCTAACGCATAAAGCATAGAAAGCTTACACATTCTTTCTTACAATGTTTGTATAGATAATAAACCATTATAATATTTAGCTCTAGCAGTGCACACTCTGGGTCAGAAGTCCCTTATTTACCTCTTCCTGGGTAACCAACTCCTCTCGGACTTCAACTTCAGCACCAATAATTCCAATCTCCAATCTCTCTCACTCTCTACCTCGTGTTTCGGGCTACATCCCCAACCTCCTCCGGCACAGTAACAGTAATTCCACATGAGGTCTCAGGTTCAGTGCTCGGTCTTTTCTCCACTCTGCCTCACTTACTCTCAACACCGCCTGTCAGTGGAGGCCATGGAATCACAGGCAAAAAGCTGAGCTGCCATGAACATCTCCATCTTGTCAAGTTCTCCTAAATGTTTCTGCCAAGTATTATCCTGACCCCTTCATTCTGAGTATCACTGCTGCCTTCAATCAAGCTATAACCTCAACAGGAAACTACAACTCACACCAGGTATTAATGGATCCATCTTCTCACCTTCTCAGCTCTACTCCAAACTGCTCCACTGTAATCCTTCTGGAACTTACTTGGTCATAGCAGTACATAAATCCCTCAGCAAAAATAGGAGTGCGGGGACACTGGTTTGGCCTAGTTACTGGCCCTGCTGCCACAGTGTCTGCATCTATGTCTGGCTCCGGCGCCCAGGGTTCTTGCCATCCATGCAGAGACAAAGCTGAGTCCCTGGTGACTTACTCTGGCCTAGCCCAGCCCCAGCTGTTGCAAGCATTTGGCGAACGAGCCAGTGGAAGGCAGCGTCTCTCGCTGTTCCTCTTTTCCTCTCCATTCTTTAAAACAAAGCGGGTGAATCACTTAGTAGTTCTTGTGCACACAACAACACTCCAGTGGTTCCACCCAGTTATTTTCACCGCCTTCACTGCTTAAATACAGTGAAGTAAACGAACAGAGAAGTATGGGGGCTGTTTAACTGCCCCACCCCTCCTAGGACTGAGGTGCTTGGAGGCATACTTATGCTAGCACACACAAGAAGTCAAAAAACTGTGAGATGAAAAAAATCTAATAAATCAGTGAATTTTCCTAACCCTACTGGTATGGCAAATTGCATATAAGCACACTTTTTTTTTTAAGATTTATTTTATTTTTATTGGAAACTCAGATATGCAGAGAGGAGGACAGAGAGGAAGACCTTCCATCCAATGATTCACTAAGTGACCATAACAGCCGGTGCTGCACCCATCTGAAGCCAGGAGCCAGGAACTTGCTCCAGGTCTCCCACGCGGCTGCAGGGTCCCAAGGCTTTGGGTTGTCCTCGACTGCCTCCCCAGGCCACAAGCAGGGAGCTGGATGGGAAGTGGAGCAGGCAGGACATGAACCGGTGCCCATTTGGGATCCTGGCACATGTAAGGTGGAGATTAAGCCACTAGGCTCCTGCGCCAGGCCTTTCACATTTTGTTCATTAGTTATCTGAAGACCTATCTTATGATTAGACTGCAAAAATGTCTGCACGAGGGCCCGGCGCAGTGGCGCAAGTGGTTAAGGTCCTCACCTTGAACACTTAAATCTTAAAAAAAAAAAATGTCTGCACCAAAATGAACATTCCATTCCATTTTCCAAAAACTTTCTGAAAGATTCTCACACTCCTCTGAATGTGCTGACAAGTGGTTTGCATATTCTGGATATCTAAGTTTATCCTGTATCATGTATACCTGAGAAAACACACAGAAAAATAAGCAAATCAGTGGCTTTTAAAAAAAAGGGGGGGGGGTGGCCTAGCGGCTCAATTCCTGGCCTTGAAAGTGCCAGTATCCCATATGGGCGCCAGTTCTAATCCTGGTAGCCCTGCTTCCCATCCAGCTCCCTTCTAGTGGTCTGGGAAAGCAGTCGAGGATGGTCCAAAGCATTGGGACCCTGCACCCATGTGGGGGACCTGGAGGAAGTTTCTGGCTCCTGGCTTCGGATTGGCATAGTACCGGCCGTTGCGCTCACTTGCGGAGTGAATCATCGGACGGAAGATCTTCCTCTCTGTCTCCCCTTCTCTATATATACATCTGACTGTGCAATAAAAATAAATAAATCTTAAAAAAAAAAAAAGAAGAAGTGGGGGGCCCAGCACAACAGCCTAGTGGCTAAAGTCCTCGCCTTGAACACGCTGGGATCCTATATGGGCACTGGTTCTAATCCTGGCGGCCCCACTTCCCCTTAGCTCTCTGCTTGTGGCCTGGGAAAGCAGCTGAGGATGGCCCAAAGCCTTGGGACCAGCACCCATGTCAGAGACCCGGAAGAGGCTCCTGGCTTCGGATCGGTGAAGCTCCAGCCATTGCAGCCGCTTGGGGAGTGAACCATCAGACGGAAGATCCTCCTCTCTGTCTCTCCTCCTCTCTGTATATCCACCTTTCCAACAAATATACAAATCTTAAAAGGAAAAAAAAAGAAGAAGAAGGGAGAAGAATTCTGCTGAATGCCTTCTTTATCCCAGAGAGCTCTGCTCTCAACTTCGTAGGAAATTATTTAACCCGGGCCTGGGTTTTGAGGTTTTCCCTTTTTTTTTTTTAAGATTTATTTTATTTTTATTGGAAAGGCAGATATACAGAGAAGAGAGACAGAGAGGAAGAGAGGTTTTTCTATCTTCCCCTCATTTTCTTCCGTAACACAGGGATAGTAGTACCAGCTCACACGGTGGTTGGGGATTATACCAGTTGATGATGGATTAAACGTAATGCATGGAAAGCCTTTGGAACTGTTCCAGACTTGCACGCACCCCATAAACGCTGGCTGCCAGCATGAGCATCACCCGCTCCCAACCACAGTCACGCAAAGCAGCGCCCTCCGAGAGGCAGCGGACAGCCTCCAGATTCTGACTCCCCACGCCTGAAGCTCCTACTGAAGGAAAAGGCCATGGGTCCAGTTCATCTGTCCTCACGCCTGCCTCTTCAGATGAGGAAGAGGTAACCAAGCAGATCCAAAGGAAACCCCAAATCAAGGACATAAAACGGGAAGGAGGCAGCGCCAGCATTGTCACCTCTTTTCTGATTCCAAAACACCACCACCAGAACTCCTACAACTGTGAAAACCTTATTTTCACCACCATCCCTTTTACCTATAAAAAGGCCATGCTCTTCAAAGTCAGCAAAGCAAGCACGTAGTTTGCGGGGACTGGTTACAGAACGCCCCCCTCCCCTACCAAAATCCTTGCATACGGAAGTGGGCCACAGCAATTTGTAAGCACAGCCCACTGATGACTTTAAACCATTTGTTATTTATAGTAGCTAATACAATGTAGATGCTGCGGGAGGGAGCTCGTTATGCCTTAGGAAACAACCAGTAACGAAATCGACATATTCAATACAGACACTTTTTTTTTTCCTGAATGTCTGGTTTACAGTTCGTGGAATGTAGGGGTATGGAGCCGGTAGATGTGTCAGACAGACTGTACTTTGGATTTGTCTTCTAGTCTTTAACTCATACAGAGCCCAGAACGTGACTCGTACTCAAAGGTGCTACAATACGGATTAAAAAAAAAAAAAAACAGCAGAATGGAGAAGGCTCGGGCCTGGAGATTCTGCCTCTGTAAGACTGCTGTTCCATGGATCACGCTTCTGCGTAGCGGGGTAATGTTATCTCATTTAACCTTGGCACCCACCAGAACTGTACGAATCATACCCTTCCACAAACGCGAAGCATCAAGCTGGGGACAGTAAACTGCCCACGGCTAAAGTCCTAAGAAGTTTAATGGTTACTACGGCCAAGTTCGCTCTTAGCTCCCAGCCCGTAGTAATGTTTCTAAAACCCCCACCATCTACTCAAGAAAAGCCAAAGAACAGTCGTCTGCGACTTCAGGCAAACTTTCTGAGCGTGCTTACATCACACACACTTATTAAGCTACTAAGTTCATCCCAATCAGATACTCCCACGAGTAACTGCGGACTCCACAGTCAGCTACCGAGAGGCGCCCGGCGCGAGGGCGGCCGCCCCTTCTCGAACCCCCCGGTCCACGCCTGCAAGCCGCTGGGACCTGCCGGCTCCGGCTCAGGCGAGGAGCTCGGACGCGGCCGCGGGCCACCCGGCCAGGCCAGCCGCAGCGCCCCGCGCCCAGGGCGCACGCCGAGCCGCGAGGGCCCCCGGCGGGCTCCGGGCGGGCCCCCGGCGGGCTCCGGGCGCCGAGATGGGCGCGGTGGCCGGGGTCCCGCTGCGGAGGGCAGGGCCGGGGGCGGCGGTTACAATCCCCGCACGCCGAAAAAAGGGCGCGCGCTCCGGCCAGGGCGCACTCACTCACCTCCCCCGTACACGCCGCCGCTCATGGCTGCCTTCGGCTGGACTCCTGCGCGAAGAGGGGTACCGGGCGAAGCGACTAGAGCGGCCGCCACCGGCGCGGACCCCCGACCCTTCTAACTTCCACCGCCACCCCCCTCGGGCAACAAAGCGGCGGCCACACACCCGGGAGCTCAGCCACACTTGCTGGCTCTCTTTATCGGCCAATCACGAGGACGGAAGCCTCCCCGCCAGCCAATCACCAGGCGGCCGTGCTGCATCCCCGCCGCGGCGCCGCCGCTTTAACCAATCGGAAGCGGCCCAGGGGGTGGGGCGTAGGGAAGCGACGGAAGGAGGGAAGGAGTTGGGTTGCGGGACTGGCAGGGCGGAGCTTCCCTGGGGGCTGGAGGAGTGGGGCGGGCCGAGCCGAAGGGCAGGTCCAGGGCTGCGGCCGTGGGGCGGTGCGAGTGTGGAGCCAGCGCCCACGTGCATCGAGTCATGCCTGACTTGCAAAATTGCATTTTTTATAGAACAACTTTAGACGATTCAAAATCTCAATTTAAGAGGTGGGCTTCTGCAGTTAAAATGCAACATGGGGTGCCTGTGGTCCACAAAAACAGTGCGTGGGTACCAGTTTTGGCTGCGATTCTAAACACCTGAGAGGCAGTAGTAAAGGTTTAAGTAGTAGGGTCATTGCGATCTGAGAGGTCGAGAATCTTAGACGAAGTGATTGGAGTGGTGAATATACAAATATGCGAATTCTTAATATACTTTATTTCATAAGAAGCGTTTTCAGCCAACATTTATGTTAAAAGCATCAAACTGTGTTCCACTTGGGGGTAAGGTCAGCCAGTAAACAAGCAAACCAACTTGATAGGCTCCTGCAGTTTTTAACTAACGTGGGACACATGACATGCAACTATGTTAAGATGGGTCGTCGCTTTTTTTGTTGTTGGTGTTGTGTGAGGTCATTGACACGCTTGTCCAAGCTCTTTCAGGCAAGCCCCTGAGCCTACATCTGCCTCCGCTTCATGCGATTTCCAGCAGCCCGGCTCGTTCTCTCCGCGCAACACCTGGGCACTGTGTCTCGGCCGCTCTGTAGAAAGCTTCGTGTCTGAAGAGGCTCCAGCCCTAACGTTGTTGCTTGTCCCTTGCATAGTAGCCGTTCTTAAGAAACCTAAAGGGGCTCCTCTCTACCGGAGAAACAAGGAATCTGCAGCTTTATCAGTCTCCAGGCCAGCAGGGTGATAGAAAGTGTTGCATGGAAAACAAGGCTAGTGGGAAAATTCCTTTTTCACTGATTGGCTTGATAATAGAATCTAATCATATAGGAAATTTCCATCTACTCAATGAGGTGATTATGGAGGCCTGCAAAGGGTGGGCCCAGGACCAGATCCAACCTCCATCCATTTTCGTAAGGCGGATGAGCTAAGAATGTGTATTTCATTAAAAAAAAAAGGTTTTCAAAACTTATGTTTCAGAATATTTTGTGGTATGTGAAAATTAGAAGAAAGTCACCTTCTGTGACTTTTAACTGGGACGCAGCCAGGCTTATTCACAGGAAAACGCACTTTGAGAAAATATTGGAAAGTCATATTTAGATGTTTGTGGTTAACGATTTTGCTCCATTTGATCACTTAAACAAGTATTCAAACAGACCAGCCGTTCATCATTTAAATCAGCTTAGTCGCCTGTATCTTTGGAATTGTTGTTCTCTGCAATAGTAAATCATGGAAATGAACTTCCAAGAAAATTAGTCTCACTGCAGGATACCTACTATGTAAGGAGTGATCATATGTTAACACATATAAAAATGCACACTTAAACCTTGATAAATTTTAACCCACAAAAATATAGCAAGACTCTAAGATTACTGACCCCAAAATACTGCATTGCAGGAGAGGATTGTTGATAGAGAAGGCTCCTGAGGGAACATGTTGCAGGACTATGCATCCTGCAAGACAAGACTGACTGTGCAATAGCATGTTTCTTAAATGTTAGTGACTAGAAAAACTGGTAAGAATAGGAATAGGAATCCAGCAGAATCTACTTTGTGGAGTGTAAGATAGCTGAGGTTCTGGTTTGTTGTTTTCTGCTTTTGTTTTTCATGAATGTTTCTCTGTAATATTGCACATTTTCTTTAAAGTATTTGCCCCGCCTACTGATAACTAGTCAGACTTAAAAAAAAAACCCGATGGCAACAACTCAAGTTTATTGTCTGCTGCTTCTATTTTCAAAGGCAAAATATATCAAGATGATCAATTGTTGAAATTTTTCTCCCAGAACCAAACTGTTTTCTTAGAATTGCCAACCTGTAGAAAAAGAGATGTTGAACTAACATCTCTGTATTTTCCAGCCCAAAGAAGGTGCTCAGGGCTGGACTGTGAGGTTAGATGTAGAAAAGCCAAGTGCCTTTTCCAAGGTCTTTTGTGGTAGTAATACCTGTGCGTCAGAATCTAACACCAGATGCACCACCTGGCTTGGCCTCACGGAGGCGCTGGTCTTCTGTTCTTGTGCCGCCCCGGGAAGTCTGATGCTGTGGCCTTTCGCACCTGCACTGAGCAGCTGCATTAGCACTCATTATGGGATTCCAGCATTTCTTACATGGTGTGCTCCCGACCCTGTTCCCCATTTCAGATTATATGGGCTTCAGAGTTTAAATTTTTCATTTGTCATTCGTACAAGCTAGGAAACAAGTACTGAAGATAACCATCGACCTGTTGAGAAAGGACACAAGAATTCATGTGCATTTAAAACTATTTGATGCTGAAAAATATAGAAAACTAGTGATCATCACAAGTACATTTCAATGAATACATCTTTCTACAGATACGCATATATTAAGGAGCCATTGTATCATCCTCTGTTGACAGAGATTCCAAATGACAGGTGATGATGTTTTGGTATAGAGAGCTAAATAGCTGCTTTCTGATATCCTCATCTCATCTCAGAGTGCCAGTTCAGGGCGCAGCTACTCCGTGCTGCTCCAGGTCCCTGTGAGTGCACCTGGGAAGCAACAAATGATGGCTCAAACAGTTCAGTTCTTGCTACCCATGTGAATGAAATTCCTGATTCCTGGCAGCAGCCAGACCCAGCCGTGGCTGTGGCAGCCATATGGAAAGTGAATGGAAAATGTATACAATTAGATATAAATAAAAATCTATGAAGCAAAGCGTCCCCAGCTGCCCTAGCCTCAATTTCAGAGATGTTCTATGCTTGTTCAGGTAATTCTGAAGGTATACTCCCCATTTCTTCTGACCCTGACCATAAAACTCTCACTGTATATGGTTAATGAACAACCATTCTCTGTGAAAACTTATTGGGGGAGGTGGCAGGGAATTGGGCTTTTAAAAAACATTTATTTATTTTTCACTGGGAAGTCAGATTTACAGAGAGAGGGAGAGAGAGAGAGAGAGAGTGTGACCCATACTCCGCTGCCTTCCCAAGCCATAAACAGGGAGCTGGATCAAAAGTGGAACAGCTGGGACTAGAACCTGCTCTTATATGGAATGCTGCTGCCACAGGGCAGAGGGCTACCCAGTTGAGCAACTGCACTGACCCCTTATTTTGAAATAATATTTTAAAAAACGCATTCTTTAAAAAAGGACAGCCCCCACCTGCTGAGTCACCCCCCAAAAGGTAGCCCAAAGATATGGGACAGAACTGGGAACAAGGAATATGACCCAGGTTCCAATTCTGTGAGTCATCTCCCGCTGCCTCCCAGTGTCCACATTAGCAAGAAACTGCATTAGGAGCCAGAGTCAGGTATCGGACCCAGGGACTCTGATGTGGAATGTAGGCATCCTAATTAGCATCACAAACAGTAGGTCAGATGACCATCCATGACATATTATGAACAAACATTTTCATTTAAAATTTTTTTTTTCATTTTTTTTTCAACTCCATGTCCCCCCACTCACAATACAGACCAAACCCAGGGCACAGGGCTTAGGCTGGGGTGTATATGAGGAAGATTTGCTCTGCGTCTTCTTCCTATACAGCCAGTGTAACAACACAGCCTGCGGTAAGCACCAGGAGGCCAAAACAAGAGAAAGAAACAAAATGTAGGGGGCTGATATTGTGGGTTAACCTGCTGCGTGCGACACCAGCATCCCACTTAAACAGTGTCAGTTGCATTGCGTGTTACTCAGCTTCGGATGGAGCTTGCCCGTAATGCACAGGAAGGCAGCAGAAGATGGGAGAACAGGATGAGTTCTGGCTCCTGGTTTTGGCCTGGCCCAGGCATGGCTGGTGTGGCCATTTGGGAAGAGACAAAGAATTCTACCATCCCAGTGAACCTATGGATGATAGATTTCTGCCTCCGTGCCCTTCCAACGAATAAATGACTCTGTAAAACATTTCTATTAAATAGTATATAAGTGGCTAGAAACTGAAACAATGCGAAAGAGTGAGATGCAAACCTCTCTGCCTCCTCTTTCAGTCCTCAGTGCCCCAGTTCCTCTCCCCAAACCTAACCACTGTTAGCAGTTGCTTACATAACCTCTCAGGGAATCTTTTCAAGTGTAAGTGTGCTTCTATGCCTTCCAGCCACCTTTTTTTTTTTGCCTTGTTTACATAAGTGGTAATATACCAAACATATTGTTTTGTGGCTGACATTTTGTGCTTTACTTATTACTTCTTTGATCCTAGAGATCATGTACAATTCAGGTGTTTTGAATCTGTAGCTCCAGAAACCTTTTTTTTTTTTTCTTTCAAAGATTCATTTACTTTTTTGAAAGGCAGTGTTAGATGAGAGGTAGAGCAGAGGTGGGGAAAGGAGAGCTTCCATCAGCTGCTTTACTTCCCCAAAGGCTCCGACACCTGGGACTGGGCTACACCGAAGCCAGGAGCCAGAAGCTTCTTCAGCTCTCCCCTGAGGGTGCAGCAGTCCAAGCACCTGGGGGCACTTTACTGCTCTCTCCAGCACACTAGCAGGGAGCTGGAGCTCAAGCGGAGCTACCAGAACTCAAAATGATGCCCATATACACAGTAACTAACCCCTACACAATACTGATCCCTATTTTCCTAATTTTAACATTAGCACAGAATTCCTCTGTGCACAATAATTCGTATCACCAATTCTCTGCATATGGCCATTTAAGTTTTTCCTGCTCTTTTGTTTTTACGAAGAATGCTGCAATAGCTATTCCTTTCTGCAGCTACACAAAGAGCTTTTATGCAGCATGAATTCATGGAAGTGAGCTGCTGGGTCACAGGACATATGCACTTTTAATCATGATGGTCATTGCCAAGCCACACAGCAGTTACGCCATTTACATTCCTCCGTTAGCATGTCTGGGGATATACTTTCTCCTGCAACATTCTCCAATGCACAGCTTCCTCATGCTGCAGCTTTGTATGAGATGTCTCATTCACTTGCTAACTATTTCGGAAGAACCTCTGGCATTGTTTCCACCAGCAGCACACCAAATCCAGGAGGACATTTTTAGGATTCTAGATTTTGTGGGAAAAAAGAAGTAGAAAAATTTGCAAGCCGAGCTTTTAAAAACGTTTGCATCTGTTTATCTTCTTTTATTTCAAAGTCAGAGACTGAAGTAGAGAAATCTCCCATCTATTGGTTCTCTGCTCAAACTCCTGCCTCACTGGGCCTGGCTGAAGTGTGAACCAGAAACTCCAACTGTGTCTCCCATGTAGGTGGAAGGACTCTGAGGATCTGAGTTGCCACCTGCCGTCTCTCAGGATGTACATTACCAGGAAGCTGGAATCGGGAAATCATTGCAGCATAAAATGTGGGTATGCCAAGCACTGCCTTTACTACCAAACCAAACACTGGCAATACAAGCTGAGCACTTAAAGGTTATTTATTTTAAAAAACATATGTGTCTGAAAGTCAATTTTAAAGGGAGGGGTAGAAACAAAGGAGAGATTTTATTTTCACTGGTTTACTTACCAGATGGCCACATTGGCCAGGTCTGTGCAATGCCAAACCAGTATCCGAGAGCTTCATCTGGATCTTTCACACAGCTGGCAGAGACCCAAGGTGGCAATTGGCCATCATCCTCTGCTTTGCCCAGGCCATTAGTTGGAGCTGAATCAAAACTGGAGCAGACAGGACACCAACCAGTGTCCGAAGGAGATGCTGGTATCGCAGGCAGCAAACTTACTTGCTATAGCACAGTGCTGGCCCCCCTAGGCTGAGCTGTTGTTCAGCCAACTTGCCTGAGGCCACATGCTGGAAATAGTAGAAACGAATCATGGTATCATTCAACAGTTATGTTTCCCCATTAATGTGAAAGTGGCTGACAACATTTCAAGAGTTCCTTAGAGAAAAAAATCCAAATTTTTACTTGGGTTTATGCTTCTGCCAAAGTTTGAAAGGACATGAATGGTGATTGCACAATTTCTTCCATTTAAAATATTCTTATCTCTATCTTCATCTGTGACTAAGACAATTCCAAGTAAAGTAAAAGACATCTGCCCAAGGTCAGGGCCATGGTTCAAGGCGTTAACCTTACCTGCAAAGGCCAACATCTCATATGAGCATGAGGTCAAGTCCCGGCTGCTCCACTTCCCATCCAGCTCCCTACATGTGACTTGAGAAAGCAGTAGAGGGTGGTCCCAGTCCTTGGAACACTACACCCATAAGAGATTCCCACAAGAAACTCCTGGCCCCTGGTTTCGAATCAGCTCAGCTCCAGCCATTTTGTGCATTTGGGGAGTGAACCAGCCGACAGAAAACCTCTCTCCTTTCTGTAAATCCTTTCTGTGAATAAAAATTTTAAAATCTTTTAAAAAATTTTTTGTGCACTTAATATGTGGGACTCACATTTCAATTTTAGTACACACATTGTTGCTAATCAGGGAACTGGTGTAGAGTTTATTTCGTTTTGTTGTAAGGTAGGGAAAAGATGTTTCTTTTCTTCTCTTTTTTTGGTAGGAGAGAAAGAAGTAGGAAATATTCAACTTGTTTTAGAAAAAGAATATTAGTAGCAGAGAAATTAGTTATTAATTACGCAAACCGTCAGCAGATAGTTCAATCAACTGCCAGCTTCCATCTTTACTCAACTGGCTGGAAGAATATTTGCATAAAACTTACAATTTGATTTGTTGATTTCTAATATATATATATATATATAAATGTGTCCAAATGCCCATAAACCAAAGGGAAAACCCCAGTCACTGAAGAGTTTGCATGTGAAGTCAGGCCATCATTCACCTCGTGTACCCGACTAATACAATGAGTTTTTTCATTGTAGAGCAGGCTACACCTTACGTTGCCCAACTCAGTCAGCAGCTGCCAGAATTTGAACCACTCACATGGAATTCAAAAGCCCCTAATTACACAGTTTGTACCGTCAGCAGTACACCAGCTCCAAGATAACGTGTTTGGGGACTGCGGACTCTGCATGACAAAAGCAAGCAGAATAATTGACAAGCAGAAGCTGTGATCATTCCGTATCTTTTTGACAGCTCTTGAAAGCATCAGTCATTCCCACTCTGCCAACTCAGAGCAATGCTCCAAGAAGCCTTCTGGTGTCTGCCTCCTGGGACATGTGAACAAAGAGCTTCTAAAGGATTTGAAAGAATTCTTCCCAAAGAATATTATCTAGTGCTTGAAGTAACATTTGTGATTACGACTGATGGCTGTTCCAAAAGAAGTCCTATTAGAAAAAAAAAAAAAAAACCTTTACCTCAAAGTACTTCACATCACTATTGCCATGAACAGAAGTACAATCCCAATTAATATTTATTGATTTGTGGCCTATCATATTACAAATGGCTGACTCTGAGACTACAATAGGAATAAAATAGACTGTAAAATATATATATATAATATTTATTTATTTATTTATTTTGATAAATATGAAGGGCATTTAAGGCTGGAAAAATATGAAAATGGTTGTACCCAATTGATGAGCTATGTGTATGTCTGTATATGTTTCACTTTGTATCATAAACTTGTGTTAAATGTGATTGCTTCTCAAAACACATTTGCAATTTCACATTAAGCTTGGGGAACTCCTCTGTCAGGATGCAGTCCCTGCAGGTGAGCACAAAAACCAAGGCTGGGAACAGCCCATGCCTGGCCAGGTTACAGTACCCAGTGACATACATGTGAGACAGGTCCAGGAGAGAGCCAGGCTGGGCCAGGCTGGGTCGGCTCATAACACCCACTGGCAGATGTGAGAGCCAGGACAGGGTGCAGGACAGTGCAAGTTGGGCTGCAACCCAGTTCATATTAGGACCCAAACTGGGACTGGCTGAGCTGAGCCAGGTTGCAGCACCCACTGATGAATACTGAGGTGGGGAGGGACATGCCAGACTGGGCCACAGCATCCACCAGTACAAGTAAGACCTGGTAAGGAGTGTGGGGGAAGCCACCTAGAGGAGGCTGTGAGGACTCCCCAGCTGGACCACTGCTCCTTTTGGTGAGCATAAAAGCTGGGGCTGGAGGCAGACTAGGCTGGGCAGGGCTGAAACCTGCTGGCCTACATGTGATCTGGGTTAGGGAGAGAGCCAGGCAGCAATAACCAACTGTATTCACTGGTGCATCCATGGGCCAGAATAGGTTCAGTGCATGTCGGACTTTGCCATAGCTTCAACTAGCAGGTGCTGGAAATGGGTGCAAGTCCTGTCAGGAGAGACCACAAAACCATCTGGAAAGTACAATATCCGAAGCTGGGAGTGGACCTAGTAGGGATATCGTGGGCACCCCTCTGATAAACTATAGCTCCCACCAGTGAACATGTGTTGGCAACGCCCACGTCGCCACGTACCCCAAGCCCCAAGTCGAACGGAGGGACTAGGGTTATGAGACAGACAAGACAGACAAGACACACAACACACTGAGACTCATTCTTGTGAAGTGAAGGCCTTTATTCAAAGTCAAACTCTCTTACATAGTCTGCTTGGCCCCTCTCAGATCTTCCCAATGGTTAAGCAACACCTAAGCTCCCCCAAGGACATGCAAAAAGGGGAAGCAGGAAGGAGGGAAATTGCAGTCAAGCCACGGGCTAAATGTATCAGGCCATGATTGCCCTTCCTGTTATACCTTTGAGAAACAAGCTGTGCTGTGGAGT